CTCTACAGCGGCACGCCCACAAAAAGACGTAACTCAATTCACGTCGACGCCCTGTTCAACACAAGAGAATACAACATCACAAAAATGCTGAACACGAGAAGTAAGCCCTTTTAATCCACAAAATGACGTCAGTCGATTCACTGCCTCCTCTGTGACTACCACACACTACGTGACGTCACTGACTACCACACACTACGTGACGTCACTGACTACCACACACTACGTGACGTCACTGACTACCACACACACACTACGTGACGTCACTGACTACCACACACACACACACTACGTGACGTCACTGACTACCACATACTACGTGACGTCACTGACTACCACACACACACACTACGTGACGTCACTGACTACCAAACACTACGTGACGTCACTGACTACCACATTACTACGTGACGTCACTGACTACCACACACACACTACGTGACGTCACTGACTACCACACACACACACACTACGTGACGTCACTGACTACCACATACTACGTGACGTCACTGACTACCACACACACACACTACGTGACGTCACTGACTACCAAACACTACGTGACGTCACTGACTACCACATTACTACGTGACGTCACTGACTACCACACACACACTACGTGACGTCACTGACTACCACACACACACACACTACGTGACGTCACTGACTACCACATACTACGTGACGTCACTGACTACCACACACACACACTACGTGACGTCACTGACTACCAAACACTACGTGACGTCACTGACTACCACATTACTACGTGACGTCACTGACTACCACACACACACTACGTGACGTCACTGACTACCACACACTACGTAACGTCACTGACTACCACATACACACTACGTGACGTCACTGACTACCACACACACACACACACACACACACACACACACACACACACACACACACACTACGTGACGTCACTGATTACCACACACTACGTGATGTCACTCACTACCACACACTACGTGATGTCACTCACTACCACACACACACACTACGTGACGTCACTGACTATCACACACTACGTGACGTCACTGACTACCACACACACACACACACAAACACACACACACACACACGCACTACGTGACGTCAGTAACTACCACTGACGTACACACAGAGAGGAGGTGAAGACGATGGTAAAGGAGAGGGAGAGGGGGAAAGAGACAAGGGGAAAGGAAACAGATAATTTTTTGGGGGTTTTTTTGTAAAGTGTTTTACGGCGCTCGCAACTGCATAAGGTCATATGAGCGGCCGGGACACACCTAATATTTTCAGTTGGTAGGAAATTTTGAATT